AAAACATAGGGTGAAATCCTTTCACAATGTATACATATATCGGGTCATCATGATACATTAAATATCTTACAATTTTATCTCTCAATTATACCTTACTGAAGATGAAAAATTATGCCAATGTACATAATAATAAAATTACTTAAAACCATTGCTAGAGAAAAATCATAAAAATAGCTAGAGTAGAAAAAGAAAACACTTTTTACCTACATAGGAACAAAGATAAGCATGACAGTAGTTTTTTGTGAAAATAAAGATAACCCAAACACAAAATATCAAACATGACATGATTTCATTCATATGAACTATCCAGAATAAGAAAATTCATGGAAACAGCACATTAGTGGTTTCCATGAGCTGAGGAATGAGAGAATGGGATGTGACTGCTTAATGACTATGAGGTTTTTGTTTGGGATCATGAAGAAGTTGTCAGACTAGATAGTGATGATGATTTCACATTAAAAGACACTGCATTGTAAACTTTCAAATTGTTAAAATGATCAATTCTATGCTATGTGAGTTTTATAAGAATAACAAAAAAAAGAAAGCCAGAAAAAGTGAAATAATATCTTTAAAGTACTTAAGAAAAAACTGCCTGTCTAGATGTCTATACATGGTCAAAATATATTTCAAAAGCAAAGGTGAACTAAAGACATTTTTTTGAATTAGAAAACCTGAAATAATTTATCACCAACACATAGACACTATGACAAATGTTAAAGGAAGTCCTCCAAGAAAAAGAAAAAAAAAAAGAAGAGAAACCAAATAGAAATATGGACCTACAGAAACAGTAAAGGACATCTACATGAAAATTTTAGCTACTTGATATAATATAATTGCAAATGCCCAGGAAAATATAAAATATGTTTTCCCTATTCTATAAATGTATTTCACAGATAATTGAGAGTTTAAGGAAAAAGGAATAGCAATGTATGGAGTGGTTTATCACATAGGTAAAATGAAAATGGATGACAACTACAAACTAATGGCTAAGAAGGAAAAATTAGATCTCAGAATAGTCAAACATTCAAAAAAAACAAAAGCACAAATTTCTGCTCCTATTTCCTTGCAGATATCTGAGGTTGCACCCTCAAACTACAGGTGCTACCAGCCCTACAGTAATGTCAGGAGAGTGGAAAAGATGATGTTTATTCAGACAGCATGTCTTTGGGCTCCTGATAATCACCTGAAACACACAAGTTGGTAAGAACTAATTTGTAAAATAATATTACTTTAGCGGAACTGAAAACTAGACTGAAAATTGAATACTATCACAATGATTCACCCATACGAAGTGAAGAAAGTCTTTCATTAAATAGATAGCTAGCTACATAGATAATAGGCAAATATATGTTTATATGAATATATTCATACATTTTCCATATACACTTAGTAGAGATACGCAATGTGCAAAGTATTTCTCACTATGATTGGGGCTTATAAAAAAGAAAATCATTGAATTGGACAATGCAATTTTAGATAACTTCAAAAGAGGCAGGACATCCCAAAATCAAGCTGTTCAGCCACTTCTGCAAAGAAAGTAATAATTTTTAAAGATTTTATTTATTTATTTTTAGAGAGGGGGAAGGGAAAGAGAAAGAGAGGGAGAGAAGCCTCAATGTGAGGTTGCCTCTCACGTGGCCCCCCCTCGGGATCTGGCCCACAACCCAGGCATGTGCCCTGACCGGGAACCAAACCAGCGACCATTTGATTCACAGCCCACACTCAATCCACTGAGCTACACCAACCAGTGCTTAGAAAGTAATCATTTTAAGAATGAAACATTTCAATTGCCTAAGTCAGGCTGAGGAAGAGACCCTCTGTAAACTTCAGTTTCTTCTCTGTCATAAGTGCTAAGGTTCCCCAAACCAATACCTAGTCTGGAACCCAAAACCATTCTCTGTAATAGTTACACATCAGCTAATGGTATGAACTGGAAGGGAGGAATGAATTCCCATACAGTATTTAAATGAGATACCAGGATACAAGTTGAGGAGTCTCACAAGGAGAAGACTGAAGAATCCATACACTCCAGAAGTGGGTACCCCACAGGATATTGCTTCATTTTTGATGTCCATCCTAGAAGACTCCAACAGGGGTCTCAGACTGAAAAATTCCCTTCTTCCCACCTTCAGGGTTTCAGGAAGGTAGAGACCTTGATCTTAGAACATCAGACATAGCTTATCAGAAAGAGGAGTCTATACAAACCCAATGGAAACATGAGGGCCTGAAGAGAATTTGAAAACATGAAGAAATAAACCCAAGACCTGAACGTATTATACTCAGTCACATGCTGAACGATAAGGGTTTAGGATTTCAGAATATAAATATTGCGGTACATAATTCGGTCCAATACACAAAGTAGAGTATTGCATTACATCAAAGGGTACAGGAAAAAGAGTAAAAATAAAGTCAATACAAGTTCATGAGTATTCCTGTATGAAACTGATAAGATTGCAAGGGTAATCTGATTTCCTAAAATCTATAGCAAATAAAAGTTTCCATGAAAGTCAGGGGAAAGACAGAGATGTGTGTCATCACCTCTACTGTTCAAATTACTGGAACACAAAGACAGCGCTGCGATGTCAAAAAAAAAAAAAAGGAGAAGAGCTAAGAATATTGAAAAGAAAGAGATATTGATTGGGGATAAAATGATCACTGTGTAGAAGATACTAAGGAACAAGCACGTGGAATAGTCAAATAAATAAGAAACCTAAAATGATAGTCCAACTCCATTATAGCACAAGCAACAGCCTTGCCGCCATAAAAGCAATCACTAATTAGTGCATGTTTTGGAGAGTGTCCCATTCACAGCAACATCGAAATCCAAAATTTTCCTGAACAGAATCTCCAAACAAATGGATGAGATCTTCATAGAGGCAACTAGAAAATTTACTGATAGATTCAGGTAAAAGATGTCCCAAGTAAACAGGTGAATCATACTCATCGATAGAATACACATCACCATAAAGACGTGAATTCTCATTTACACACTCAGGTGCCTCACCGGTAGCTGCCAAGATGACAACTGAGCTGCGGCTGCTGTCATCTGCTCCCAAAACCAAGCCTGGGAAACCATGGAAGAAAGAATAAAAAAAAAAAACAAAACAAAATAAAAATCTAAACAACATGTGAGAAACCCCAGGGGGAGAATGAGGACTGTGTTGAACTGTTACTTCAGACTGGAGTGAGGGAGTTCTGGGCCTAGGAGAAGCTGGGGAGAGTTTGTCACTTGTAATAGAAGGCAGAGGGCACAATAGGAAGAGGCAAGGGTTTGGAACTTCTGCTTCTGCTCCACTACAGAAATCCAAGGCGATGCCTAACATCACAAATGCCGGTGGCCCTGGGTAATGGCAGGACAATGGGAAAGATGGGAGTGATGGTGGCAGTATGACTGGGCCCTGCTAAAAATCACCTAAAACCACTCTACGGCTGGTCTTCTTTAAAAAAATACATTATTATGGCAGAGTTAAGGAAGGAACTACACATAGATTAATATTGCCGTGAATCACACCCATTTTGCATATACACTTGGTAGACATGTACAATGTCCACAATCTATCTCACAATGTATTCCCTTCTGCAAGGAAGCGGGGTTATAGAAAAGAAAATCACTGTCCTGGACAATGCACTGATTAGATAAGCTCCAAAGAGGCAGGAGACCCCCAAATCAAAGCCGTCCAGCCTCGTCCATGTGGAAGATACATTTTGTAGAATGAAATGTATGCAATAGAAAAATCCTTCCTTCCTAGACAGAGGGGAGCCCACAGAAAGCTGCCCATGGTGTCAGCGGGAGGGGGGCGGGGCAGAACAGTCAGGCAGAAGCGATCCCTCCCCTGTGTCCTCAGTCCAGAGGGGGAGTCTCCGTGAACCAGAGCCATGGACTGAGGGGTGCACCATCAGGTCTGCCAAAGGGAGGACATGGCAGCCCCGTCAGGAGTAAACGTAATAAATACCTTGGACTGGTCTGGAAGTACGCCTACATTCTCAGACAGAATGGGGTTAGAGGGGGCGAGGGCAGGAGTACATTGACCTGCCCTGTGCCAACCCTGGGTCGCGCTGGCACATACTGGCGCCCTGATGCTCACTCACCGGTTCCTGCACCTTGATGTCCTCGGGGTGGGGAGGAGCTGGATACCGGGCTCAGGAACACAGGTATGCAGAGGGAAGCTGCCCAGGGGGAGACTGACTGGAGCCAAGGTGAAGACTCTGAGCTAGGACCGAGTAGTTTTTCCATGCACACACAGTGGGGGGTGATGGTCCCGCCGTGTCCGCGCAGTGGCCCAAGAAGACCCCAGGCAGTATTCCTGTGGGTGGCGTCCAGGGACTTTCCTCTCAGAAGCAGGAGAGACGTGAGGTTTACTATGTCTAAGGGGTGCCGAGTGAGGCTTGTATACAAGAGAGAAGAAAAGTCCTGGGCTCTGGCAGGTGTCAAGGTGAGGACCTGAGCAAGACAGGGAGACCTGCCACCACTGAGGGTGGGGACCAAGCTCGGTCTTGCCTGCGGCCTCAGGCCCGGGATGACCCCCACACAGGTGTTCAGACACGGCATTTCCTGCCTTAGGTCTTTGAGAGCCAGAGGGACAAGTGGCTTCTCCTGAAGGGGTCCGACTCAGGTCAGCCCTTTCAGAAGGACCTCAAGGGACGTGTGAGCGGGGCTCCCAAAGGTAGAGGAGTCTTGCACTTGCCTCCCGCCCCTCTCGTGAACCCCGAGAAAGCCAGGCCAGGTGCCCGGATGTTCTGTTTCTGGAATTCCTTCACGGAGTCTGAGGGGTGGCGCTTTTGATGGACAGACGGGGCGGGTCCTGGGCCTGGCCAATCATCAAGGCGAGGACCCTGAGGAATGCACGGGAGCACCGCCCACTGCACATATAAGAGCTCGGGCTGCTGAACACCCCTGCAGACGTCCGGGAGGTGCCCCAGGCAGGTTCCTGGCATTTGGCGTGTCTGGTCTTTCCAGCTCAGAAGACCGAGGGACGTGGCGTTTTCTCGGAAGGGTGCGGAGTGAGGAAACCAGAGAGAAAAGTCCTGGGCTCCGGCAGGTGCCAAGGTGAGAACCTGAGGGAAGACGGGGAGACCTGCCACTATAGAGGGTTGGGGGACAAGCTCGGTCCCACCTGCGGCACCAGTCGCGGGAAAACCCACACGCGGGTGTTGGGCTATGGCATTGCCCGGCTTACGTTTTTGAGAGTCAGAGGGACAAGAGGCTTCTTCTGAAGGGGTCCCGCTCAGGTCAGGACCTTAAGGAGGACACCAAGGGAGGTGTGGGGGGGTGGGACCCCATACATAGAAGAATCTCTCGCACCGCCCCTCCCCCCGCTACCCTTACTGTGAACCCCGGGAAAGAAAGCTAGACAGTCCCTGAATATTCCTTCATGGAGTCTGAGGGTTGGTGCTTCACGGGGGCAGATGGAGGTGCCTTGGGCCTGGCCAGTCATCAAGGCCAGGGCCCCCCCCCCAAAACATGGAGGCACCACCCGCTGCACATATAGGGACTCCAGCTCCTCGCGGTTCCCGCAGGGGTTCCTGGGGCGCCCCCACAGGGCGGAGGAGTTTGGAGTATCTGGCCCTCTCGCCTCATAGGCCTGAGGGATGCGAGGTTTTCTTTGAGGTGTGGACTTGGGGTCAAAAGAGGGAGAAATTAGGGCTAGGCTCTGCCTAGAGTAAAGGTGAGGGCCGTGAGGAAGAAGAGGGACACCTCTGAAGGCAGAGGGTAGGGGGGCCAAGCTCCATCCCGCCGGGACCCTCAGTCCTGGGCGGCCTCAAACCTAGGTGGTCAGATAAGGTGGTTCGGGCTCTGTTGTCTCAGGACCCTGAGGCAGATGAGGTTTCGTCTGCCTGCCAGGTGTCCAGTCACCAGTGGGAGGAGTCCCAGGCTGTTCCTAGTATCGCCTAAGGGAGGAAAACCTTCCACCCAGCCTACGGGTCTGTAGGGTGGGGGGTGGAGGAGAAAGCCCTGAGGTGCACTTGCTATTACTTCTGAGAGACCACAGGCAGGGTTCCTGACTAGGGTGGGTCCCATCCCTCCTTCCATGCTGGGAATCTCAGGGACCCTCGACTTTCGGTTGTAGGACTCGGGTCAGAAGACGGGTACCCTGCCTCTGCTACTTCCCTCTGTGAAAGGACTGACGGGGGGAACTCGGCACAGACCGGGTGCCCCAACCTCTGCCTCCTGGCACCTTCATACCCTGCCACTGCCCTCCCTTTGTGGTTAGCTCTGATAGCCAAAGACTTACAATTTGGGGGTCTGGGGGAACATGACACTTTTTCTGAGGAGCGTAGTCTCAGGTCAGTAGGGGGAAGAGGCCTAGGCTCTGCCAGGCTCCAAGGTGAGAAAGAACCTTGAGCGAGGAGTGACAGGACCTGCCAATCCAGCTTGCCGTGGCCCCACAGAAGAGTGCCCCTCCCATGAGCACTGAAAAGACCTGGAAGGGACCTGAGGAAAGAGGCCCCTTTTGATCCCAGACTGACGTCCTTTTTCTGACATCTCAGGGAAATGGAGGCCCTCGGCTGAGGGACCCACCTCAGTCAGCAGAAGGGAGGAGATGCAGGCCCTGTCAGAAATCAATACCGATATGAATAATTTCAGCGTGGATGATGAGAGCCTTCGGGCTCTGTAAAAACCCCACTCTGCTCCCTGTCAGCCATGGGAGGACTCAGGCAGTGGGGGTGCCATGTGGTGCTTTCTCACTTCCTCTAGGAAGTAGTGGGGCTTGCCTCTGGGAAGCGAGGCCTTCATCTGAGGAGGCATGGAATGCACTGTGGCAGGACAGAAGACGGCCCCCACTGCCCCACTGCCCCACTGCCCTATGGGATTGAGCCCTAGGACACGCTGAGCAGAAGTGGCGGGATGTGGCCTCTCTTTACTGCTCTCTGCTGGGTGTGAAGGAGCACGGGCAGCTTGGCACGGGGAGGGGTCCAAGGCCATAGTGGGGTGGGGAGTCAGTTGAGGCACCGAGAGGTCTCCCTGCAGTGAGTGTCCAGCTATCCTCTGCCCTTCCTCTCCACGTGGGAAGACAAGGGACATGGTCACTCAGTATGGGCCTGTGTCACTATTTTACCCTGTTGTTGGGGTTGGTGGTGGTGGCGGGGTCTCGGGAAGGTGAAAATCTTGTTCTCACGAGTGTGGCCTGAGTTCGGCAGAGGGAGGCGCATCACACCCTGCGAGGTGTCAAAATGAGGACTCTGATGCCCGAGGATGTGCCGGACCGGCCACCCCACAGAGAGGGGGCCTCACAGCAACTCAACCCTGCCATCAGCTCTGAGAGACCACACAGCAAGGTTGTCAAATATGTTGCTTTCTGACTCCCGCTTTGGGAGTCAGAGAGAGCCGAGGCCTTTTCTGAGATGTGTGACCTCAGGTTAACAGAGGGCGCGGCCTCAGGCTCTGCCCGGCATCAAGGTAGGGACCCTTGGTGAGGCCTGAAGGCTGCTGTCCCCCAAAAGAAGGACCTCTCAGCCCTGGGAGGATCAGAGCAGGCATGGCCGGAAGTGAGGAACTCTCACATCTGCTCTAAGCTCTACCAGGAAGTCAAGGGGATAAAGTCCTTCCAGGAAGTGAGGCCTTGGTCAGAGGGGGGAGCTTCGGGTCAGTGGAGGGCAGGGCAGACCTGGCCGGGAACAGGCATGAGGACACATTTTGAGGGAGGATTGAGTGTATGCCCCATGCCAGAACAGACGCCAGGCAGCGGTGTCTGCTTTTATTGTCTTTTTACTTTGGAGTGTCCCAGGAAGGGGAAGGCCTTGGTGTGAGCTGGTGACAGCAGCGGAGGGAAGAGTCCCAGCATCTGTGAGGAGTCAAGGTAAGGTAAGGACCTTGAAGGAGGACTGAGGGTGCCTGGCCCCCAACTCAGACAGAAGGGGCCTCACAGAATCCCACCCTGTCCCCAGTAGGCACCCTGGGAGGATCCGGGCAGGAGTGCAGAGATGGGGCGCGCCCTCACTTTCTGCATGGTGTGGGTGGAGGTGTTTCTGGGAGGGGAAGCCTGGGTCTGAGAGGCTGATTTCAAGTCAGCAGAGGAGAGGGGCCGAGGCCCTGCCAGGAGCCAAGAGGAAACAGCTCGAGTGAGGAAAGAGGGAGCCCCCATCCCAGCACAGGTGGGGTTCAGCTCCTGCCGTCAGCCCTGGGAGACCACACGCAGGAGCGGAGCGGCTGGATGTGATGTGTCTTTCCTTTTGTCTTCCTGGATTCAGGGAGGACAGGGCCTTTGTCTGAGTACAAAGGCAGGTCAGCTGCGCCGGCCACATCAGGTCTGAAGAGGGGGAGTCACACCTCTAGCGGGAGTCCAGGAAAGGACCCTTGGTGAGGAACAAAGGTACTTCCCACCCTAGAAAGAAGAGACCGTGCAGAGCCCGGCTGTCCTCTGTTCTCAGCTCTAGGAAGACCTAGGCAGGGGCGGGGGGCGAGGAGACGCTCTGACTCTCTCCATGGGTGAGGGAGGTATGTCAGAAAAGCGAGGGTACGTCCTCAACTCACGAGTGAGGGGGCCTGTCAGGACCTCTCAGGAGGAAAGACAAATACTGGGGTTTGGGGAGGAGTGGGGATAGCCCCACCACAGAACTGCTGGGGTCCAGCCCTTGCCGTCAGCACTGGAAGGACCTGGCAGGGGTGGAAACCTACGGTACCTCGTCACTTTTGCCCAAGGTGCTCAGGGAGGTAAGGACTTGTCCTGAAGGGCCTGGACTCAGTACACAAGAGAGGGGCCCCAGGCCCCAGTGGGCATCTGAGGTAAGGGGTAAGGCAAGCCCTCCGATTGGGGAGAGGGGTCCAGGAGCCATGAGGAGGCGGCCTTGGTGTGAGGCAGGGGTGCCCAGGTCGGCAGAGCAGAGGAGGCCCAAGCAGAGCTAGGAGTCAGTGTGAGGTGCATGGCTTGAGTGTCTGCCAAGGACCCCACCCACAGTTCCAGACCCTGCCTGCTCACGGTCAGCCCGGGAAGCCTTGGGCCAGCCTGGCCAGCTGCCCCTTCGAGAGCTTTCTGGTATCTTCCCACAGGTTCCTAGGAGACAAACCGTCCGGGAAGACAGGAGCCCTCCCTGTGAGGCCTTAGAGCACCCCTTAACAAGGAGACCTGTAAGTGAGCCTTCCTCAGAGCTGCCAAGGGCACACTTCTCTGCTGAGGCCGCTGACCCTCTCCCTCTCTCCCCCAGGCTCGTGGGATCTCACCTCCCAAACTCCTGCTCACACTTGCGCCTGCGGCTCCCAACAAGACTCAACATGTCTCGCTTTTCAAAGCATCCACGCCTCACAGCTGAGCCCAGCTCTGTGGCCCAAAGTGAGATGCAGCTTTCCGTACCTAGGGAGGAGGAGGAGGAGGAATCCTCTTGCTCTTTCAGCTTCTCCTACCTCTCCAGCTCCTCCTCTACTCCTTCCTCTCCTGTAATGCCAGGTACTGGAGAGGAGGAGGAGGAGGAGAAGGAGGAGGAGGAAAAGGTGGCAGAGAGAGAGATGGAGATAGAGAGGGAGGAGGAGGAGGAAGAGGAGGAGGAGGAGGAAGAGGAGGAGGAAGAAGAGGAAAAGGTGGCAGAGAGAGAGATGGAGATAGAGAGGGGGGAGGAGGAGGACGAGGAGGAGGAAGAGGACGAGGAGGAGGAAGAGGACGAGGAGGAGGACGAGGAGGAGGAAGAGGAGGAGGAAGAAGAGCAGGAGCAGCCTGCTGCCCAGACACCAGGTCCTCCCCTGAGTCCTCAGAGATATGCGGCGCAGAGCATGTCCGATGGAGCCTCCGGTGGCCCAGAGAGTGAGGAGACAAGCTCCCCGCAGGCCTCTGCAGACCCCGATTCTATGGACATAGATCCACTAGAAGAGAAGGTGGCCAATTTGGTGCATTTCATGGTCTTTAAGTATCGACTGAGGAGGTCTGTTACAAGGGAAGAATTGCTGAAAGTTGTTAAGAGAAGGGACAGGGCTCAATTCCCTGTGATCTTTCAGAAGGCTTGTAAGTGCTTGGAGGTGATCTCTGGTGTTGATGTGAAGGAAGTGGACCCTGCCACCCACTCCTATGTCCTTGTCAACTCACTGGATCTCACCTATGACGAGATGCTCGGTGACCTCCAGAGCATGCCTAAAAACGGCCTCCTGATAATCATCCTGGGTCTGATCTTTTTAGACGGCAACTGCGCCCTTGAGCAAAACATCTGGGAGTTCCTGAGTATGCTGGGAGTGTATCCTGGGAGGAAGCACTTCATTTATGGAGAGCCTAGGAAGCTCATCACCGAAGTTTGGGTGCGGGAAAATTACCTGCTGTACCAGCAGGTGCCTGACAGTGACCCTCCACGCTACACGTTCATGTGGGGTCCCAGGGCCCATGCTGAGACCAGCAAGCTGCAAGTTCTAGAATTTTTGGCCAAGATCAAAGGGACTGACCCCACTTCCTTCTCATGCTGGTATGAGGAGGCTTTAAGAGATGACAGAGAGAAAGCCGAGGCCAGAGCTGCCCCCAGGGGTCGTGCGGCTGCCCCCTGCAAGGCACGGAAGTAGTCTGTAGCCTCTCCTTCCCCAGCTGAAGAACGAGCCCGAATCCTCACTGTGTGTCTGGAAAGGGCGCTCACAGTTCCAAGGAGAGGAGGGCCAGAGTGAGGGCCAGGCTGGGGAGAAGACAGTGCACAGCAGCTCTGTCTTCCTATGCTGCATAGGGGACCTGGAGGCTTACCTTGTTTTTCCCCCCTTTTGGTGTGTTTCAAGTGCTGTTGCTTGTAGTGAGGAGTTCACGAGCTTTGGGATCTAAGTTGATGAAGCAAATTCGCGTCGCATGCATCGCTGTTTATCGGGTGGGGGAATGTGTTTTGATGTTTTGAAATATCAAAATATTGGGGGGACCTTTCATCTTATTTTATGCTCTGGAAGAAAAAATAAGGTGACACTGGTGTAGGAATTTCCCTGGAAACGTGAAAGAATCCCTCAGCAAAACAGAGAAAAAACATGTAACGGGTGTTTAGCTTTTTGCATTTCTTAACCATTTTCGTTTCTTGTGTAAAATTAAAAGAGCTGTACCTGGGTTTGCTTGGCTTATTCAAGGAAGTAGAACTAATCTTAGCAGATGTTAATAAATAAATTTTAGAAAAGTCCACTGACTCATTTATTTGCCAAAGAGTAATGGTGTATGTTCTCTGTGGAGAGCACTGTGCTGACAGTGAAGGTACCAGGACGTGCAAGGCACACCAGCGCCAAAACAATGGTAGGGAATGGTTCCAGTGCAAGCTGGGGAACAAGGGCAAACAGGGAGTGAGGAGGTGAGACTCCCGATGCGAGCAGTCAAGTGAAAATGCACTGAGCCCAGGCAGGCTGGGGCTTTGGGAAAGTGCAATTCCTTCTGCAGGAGTTAATTACAAGTTAAGCTTGTGGGTGGTGGCAGGGGCCAAGCTCTCAGAGGGGTGCTTTTTGAAGTAAGAGGAAAGCCTGGAAGAGAAAACTGCTTAGTTACTTTTGGATGGCGGATAAGCCAGACAGAAATTGCCACCTGGGGTGGGTACGGGAGGGGTCCTGGCCTCTCGTCCCAGTGCAGCTAACACAGCGCATGCATGAGCCAGGTGCTCCAACACAGCCACTGCAATGACTTCTCGAGGCTAGTGTGATAGACCCCTGAGGTGGTCCCCAGAAGCCACTACTAGGCTGGCACTCTTCCCTGGCCTGGGAGAGCCAGAGCTTGCTCCATTAAAGTGACAGTAAAGGTAGGTTATCTTGACTGTCATTAGGCCAGTCAGTAAAGCCATGTCTAGATTTAGGTGGCAGTGAACTGAATGAAAATAGCATTTTGCATGGATGAGTACTTGGGAGGGAAGGAAGGAGCCAGCCTTGGACTTAAATACTGGGAACTCTGAGTGATAGCAGCTGGGGGAGGAGTAACCCATACCCAAGTTAATATATCCTCTAAGAGGAAAAAAATAGCCAGCTTTATTTGTGAAGCTGCATCTTGGCCTGATTTGACATTCTGCCTCCCGTTGTGTTGCATGTTATCTGAGAACATCCCGGATGAAAACAAAGTCCCACAAAAGGGGGTAGTAGGGTCTGGGGACAAAGTCACATTAGATATCCCTGCCCGTCATGAAAGAATCGATGTCAGGTGCTGTGCCAGATGCTTTCCTCCCTTTGCATGCATTCCAGCAGTCCTTCTTGCAAGACGGGGCCTAGCAAACCCATTCGACAGGTGATGAACCTAAGGCTCCTGGCGCTCAGTAATTTCCCCAAGATTTTACTGCTAGTGAGTGACAGGACTGAGACAGGAACCCTGGTCTGAATTCACCTAGGGCCTGCATTGTTCCCACTCCTAGCCTGAGGCAGGTCTTCTGTCCCCCTACTCCTTGTCTCTCCTCAGTACTGCATAAAGTCTCTCAGGGGGAGAAAAGAAGGACCACATGGCAAGGTACCAGTGGCGGGCCTAAAGAGGGAAGGGGAAATGAGAGTGAAACAGAATCTGGGGATTGTCTGAGCTGTATTCTGGCTCCTCCAGCTCTGAGCCCTGGTGTAGCTGACTCTGCCCAGGTGCTGGCATCTGCCTCCAGTGCCAGCGGTGGTTGCAGGAGTCGCAGCAGCCTCTCCCCGACCTTGCCCAGCATGGCCTTGTTTTGTACTGATCTCAGCCTGCCAATAACCAATGTTGTGGCCGGCCCAGCCTTTGTGGTTCTTATTGTGACTGCAAGACGTCCCTAGGCAATAATCAGCAGGAAGCTTTGAGAAGAGTCAAGTTTATTCCTTCCAAGACCTGGACGTTACATGGCCCAACTGGGGCAACACAGGGAGTTAGGGTGGGGGTGAGAGAGAACAGAGGGGAGAGGGCAGGCAGGGAGAGCTCCTGGGGTTCTGCTTTTTGGGGGGTTGAGTGTGGGTGCCTAGGGTTGCATGGGTTCACTCTTTATCAGAGCAAGGATCTAAAGCACAGGAATGAGAGGGGGAAAACCAAGTACCTGAAATGGTCAGTTACTGAAATCAACCAAGATTTGTGAAACAATGTAGCCTCGGTTGGGGTGAAGGGTGCAGCGGCCTGGCTCTTTATGTCTAGTGCAGGGCCTGGCAGTGTGTTTATTAGAGATGGTTGAGATGGTCATGTTCGAAGTGGTTGCTTTTTGGCAACGGGTGCCTGGATGATGAAATCTTAATGCAGGTACTTGTAGTGTAGACAAAGTTAATAAATTATATGTTCAGATGTACACTACAGTCCTCCTGCCCATCTCTGGAATGTGGCCTATTGAGTAGGTTTTCATTATGTCTTTCTTCTGAATGCTGTGTCCAGCTCCTAAGTGGACAACTCAGAACCACCTGCATTCCCCCTGTACAGAACATTCCTACTGACTGCAAAATCTCCCAGGCTGTTACATCAGTCATTCTGGAGCCCTGGTGGAAACAGGCCCTCATGTTAAAAGTTTGATTTGGACAGTGTTTTTTGGATTGATCTATAGTGACTTGAATCCTGATTCCCAAAAATATGTCCAAGTTCTAATTTCCAGTATCTGCATATGTATTCTGAGTTGGAAATAGTCTTTGCAGATGTAAGTACATTAGGAATCTCTAAATGAGGTTATCTTACATTTAGAATGGGCCATGCACACAGAAAGGAAATGGAGATTTAACACACAGAGACATAAGTAGGGAATGTGAAGAATGAAGGCAGTTTGGAGTTCTCCATTTACAAGTCCAGGAATTCCAAGGATCACTGGTAATCACCAGTAGCCAGGAGAGAGTCATGTGATGAAATTATCCCTCATGGAGGATTCCAGAAGGAATTCCATAGGGAACCAACCTATTGACAACTTTATTTTCAGATTGTTAGCCTCTAGAACTATGAGAGAATTTATTTCTATTGTTTTTAGTGAGCCAGGTTGTGGTAATTTGTTATGGCATTCCCAGGAAGCGACTACATGGTCGTTCTCCAGGTATATTTAACAAAGTTTCTAAGTGTTTTTTCATTATTTTTTTCAGATTTTCATTATTTACTTTTAGAGAGAGGGATAAGGAGGGAGAAGAGGGAGAGAATATCAATGTGTGGTTGCCTCTCGCACACACCTCACTGGGAACCTGAAACACAACCCAGGCATGTGCCCTGACTGGGAATGAAACTGGTGACCCTTTGGTTCACAGCCTGGCACTCAATCCACTGAGCCACACCAGCCAGGGCTGTGTCTTTTGAATGGGCTTGTGAGTAGAGTGACTCGGGACATAATCTATTGGTTATTGGGGTATAACTCTTAAGTTAGATTATTTCTGAAACCACTCTGACATTTATACTAGGATTTTAACAGGATGGCTATTTGAAATTGGCCACTAAACACATACACAAATGAATGACTTTACTGACACATTTAAAAACAGAAGCTTCCCTCATAAAGGGTAGATTCAGAAAGACCGTGGAAATCTCTGTGTGATCAAACATCTACAAAGGCTGAATGCTTACAATCTTTGGAGTCCTTCCAGAGGGTGAAGCACTTAGCAGGCATACTAGTTCTGATTTAAGAAGAAAACTCAAATCATTATTACAGAGTTCCTGTTTGTGCCCCCTCAGAAATTCCTGTGTTAAAACCATAACATCCAATGGGGTAGTATCAGAAGGTGGGGCCTTTGGGAAGTTATTAGGTGTTTATGAGTTTATGAAGTTATTAGGTTTTGATGAGGTTATGATGACATTAATGTCCTTGGCTATGTGATGATTAAATGAGAAGATGGCTGTCTGCAAACCAGAAGAAAGGCCTCACCAGACACTGAGTATGCTAGAACCCTGATCTTAGATTTTGCAACCCCCAGAACTATGAGAAATAAATTTTGTGTTGTTTAAACCACAAGATATCTTGTTATAGCAGCCTCAGGTGACTAAAACAACTATCCTTCCATTGCCCTTTGTAAACCTGCTCCACAGGAAAAGACACCTGTAGAGGTCTTCAGGAATGTTAAGTGAAAGGTAGAAGACAATCATAAATTAATATTTTGAACATGCACCATTTGAACATGCACAAGAGAAAATCCTCAGTCTTTTGAGATTACAAAGGTCATTGCAAAGAGCAGTGCAGTGCTATTGAGTGAAAAAGGGTGTGTTCTCCCTGCTAGTATATATAGGATCCTTTGAAAACTAGACGTGGTCCTTTATTTGAAAGTGTGTATCACATTATAGGCTCTTGAAAAAGTTGGTGAATTTCAAGTAAAAATTGATTTTCTCAAATACTCCCTTAAGAAATGAAGAGGCCGTGGCTGGTGTGGTTGAGTTGTTTGAGTGCTGGCTTTTGAATCAAAGGGTCACCAGTTCTAATCCTAATCAGGACACATGCCTGGGTTGTGGGCCAGGTCTCCAGTAGGGGGTAGGTGAGAGGCAACCATACATTGATGTTTCCCTCTCTTTCTCCCTCCCTTCCCCTCTCTCTAAAAATAAATAAATAAAATATTTTAAAAAGAGAAATGAAGAGGGCTGTTGTCATAACAGATTATAATAGTTGCTTTTTATTGAGCACCTACTATATGATAGCGTATGGGAGAGACTACAAGTGTTCATTCACATCTTGTATTTCCCTCCTTCGTGGTACATCCATTTGTAGTTAGGCAGGAGCCAGTATGCAATTTCCATGCTTCTTTTGCCACTCAACAGCAAACATGGAGCCCCGTGTTGAGAGAGTAGAGCTACCAGGTAGAAGCAAACAGGATCCCTGAATTGCCTGAGAGCACAAAGTCTCTGCTAACAAAAATCAGAATGCACATGAACAACAGAAACAAAAAATGTGTTGTGTAGAGTCACTCATGTTTCAAGTTTTGTCTATTGCATCAGCTAGCAGTTACTTTA